AGCCACATTTTTTTTTTTTTTACATGCATTCAAAGTTTAATTTTGACAACATACGTAAAAATCACGAAAATACGTAAATTATTTTATCCTAGAAATTTATAAAAAATTTTCTTTTTAAATCTAAGATTTGAAAATTTAATACAAGATTCCTTACAAATTTGTCAATCTTCATCAYAAAAAAAATGTCCACCGAAAATTCAAATCAAATTTTTATTAGCATTTGCATTTCAAATATTGATAGAAATTCGTCAAAACCATGAATATTTGCAAATTATTTTGTAGTTCAAAATTCATAATATTGTTTGTATTTTTATCTAAGGTTATAAAATTTAACACCAAGTTTTCCATAAGTTTTGCWTCAAATAGCTATAGAGAATATTTGAAGCGTCATCAGAGGAAAAATGTTTTGAGCGTTTGAGTTTTAAATTTTTATGAAAACGCGTAATGATAACGATTTATCCTCAAACGAGTCAAACGAATTTAAATWTTGTTTGTTATACTTCAAAAACTATAAGTCGTAGATACTTGAAAATTTCACCAGATATTTAGATCGGAAATTGAAAAATTTWAAATTTGTTCAATAATTGTAGGTWCCACAGATTATAACACATATACATATATTAGACGAGATGATTATATTGTGATTACGAAATGTTTTCATGGATATTAGAGAAGAATTTGTTTGAAAATTTAATACAAAGTTCGTCATAAGTTATTCTTATAGTGATTAAAAAATTRTAAGAATACATAGGCACAATTTTTTTTTAATAAGCGTTTATAGTTCAAATTTTTACGATATCTGTCAAAAATGCGAAAATTTGCAAGTAATTTTGAAGCTGAAAAATCATAAATTTTTTTGTGTTTATAACTAAGGATTAAAAATATAACACTAAGTTTTCCATAAATTTTCCATAAATTTTCCTTCAAATAGCTATAGAGAAATCTCGAAGCGTCATTATAGGAAAAATTTGAGGTGCGTTAGAAAATTTTATCAGTTATTTAGATTGGCATTTTCTTTACATGATTTAATTTTCAAAATATTTTGA